GCAAACCTCAGGCAGGCATCTTTGGGCTCGGAAGCCGCATTGTACAGATGAGGAGACAGAAGCTCAGAGAGGCCAGCCTAGCTGTAGGAGGGCCCAAGGCACTAAAGAGCAGCCCCAGGGAGGTGGAGCCGGGTGGCTCAGAGCTCTGGGTCAGGTCCAGTTCCAGTCCTGGATCTGACCACAGCAAATCCTGCAGCCTCTGCACTTGGTTCTCCTCATCTGTAAGTGTGAGTATTAATATAGCCTCCTACTCCCCGGGGCTGATGGAAGCATTAAGAGAGAAATAGGGAGCCAGGCACAGTGCCTGGCCTGGAATAAATGATGTCACTATTATTATTGCTGATAGCAGTACCACCAGCTGCTGCTCCCATCTGCTCTGGGAAGGTGATCTGGGTGACTGCTGGCAGCAGGACCTTCCCACATGACCCTTTCTGGTCTCTGGGGCTCAGGCTTGCCCCCAGGCTGTGGGGACAGTTCCCCCCAGTCAACTGGGGCTCCCCCTTCTCTGGTGGGTTCAGGATCCCACCTCCCTCTCAGAATCCCCACCCTCCCCTCCAGGCACAGAGGTGGTGTCATGGAACAAGTCTCATTCACTCATTCATTCATTCATTCATTCATTCATTCCTCAAGTATTGGTTGTACACTTATGTGCCAGGCACTGTGCTGGACTCCAGGGGACATAGGGTCGAGAGGAACCAGGCATGGTCTCTGCCCTCATAGAACTCCCAATGTCATGGGCAACACAGACTTTAAACAGAGCCACACCAATAAGGGGGAAACTGCAGCTGGGAGAAGAGCTATAAAGGCCAAGCCACAATGCAGGTGGGTAAACACCACATTGGAAGGCCAGGAAGCTGCTCCTGAGTTGATGACCCTGAGCCGATATCTGAAGGATGAGAGGGAGCTAATTGAATGGAAGAGGGAATAGTTCCACAGGCATTGGAACAGCATGTGCAAAGGCCAAGTGGTGAGAGGGGCAGAGTGATGGGGGCATGTGGAGTGAGAAGTGGCTAGGATGGCAAGAGGAACCAGCCCCGTTGAAGCCATGGAGGCTCGGGTGGAACTTTGGTCTCCATCCCTAAAGTAGAGGGGAGCCATGGCAGGGTTTAAAGCTGTCAGGAGTGTTGTGACCAGATTTGCATTTTGAAAACAATAAAAATAACCAATACTGCCAGATTTTACTATGTCCCAGGCTCAGTGCTAAATGCTTTCCTGTAATAGCTCATCAGAGTCTCACGACATGTCAGATGGGAACTGCTATCCTATTTTATAAATGAAAGGCTTGATTAGATCACTCAGCCAAGAGCCCACAAGTGAGAAAGCGATGGGGCCTGTGCTGAGAACTACCAGGACACACAGTACTCATTTAACCCCCACTACAACCTTGGGAAGTAGGGACTATTGTTCTTCCCACTTTACAGATGAGGAAACAGGCCCAGAGAGGTCTAGTAAGTTGCTTGAGGCCACACAGCTTAAAACTGGATTTGGATCTAGGCAGTCTGGCTCCAGAGTCTCCATGCTCTGAACCACTACCTCACGTTAGCTCTTGGGCCACTGTATGGAGAAGGATGGGGAGGGGATGCATAGTGGCAGCAGGGAGAGAGAGAACAGTGGCCTGGCCTGGGGCTGCTGTGACCGAGTGCAGTGGACACAATCAGTGAGGGGCTTCATGGTGTCCTGGCTGAGAGTGCAACCTGAGGGACGCTTGGGGTTGGCTTGGTGCAGCTGGATGGACAGGAGAATCATTCTCTGAGGTGAGGTGGGTGGTGTGGGACTATGACAGGTTTAGTCTGGGACAAAGAGAGTTTGGGGTGACCATGGGACTTCTGGGTGGAGGGTCATGGATGCAGTTCAGACCCACCGATTGGATGAGATGGAGACTGGGGGTGGTGGGATGAGGCTGCCTAGGAGAGGGACAGAGAGAGAAGGAGAGGGCCTTGGATTCTGGCACTCAAGGGCTGTGGGAAGGAGGTGAATGGAGGAGCTGCTAGAGGAGGGGGCTGCTGCTGGCTGTGCCAAACTATGCCAAGTTTGCCCAAGTAAACAGGGTTAGAAATGGTCACTGTTAAGCAATCTGTGGTATCAGGCCTTGGCAGGACCTGTTTTGGTGGCATTTTGGAGAGGGTTGAGGTAAGGAAACTGACACAGGGCTGGACTAGGGGAAGCTAAGCCATGAAAAGGAGGTGGCCGTAGGAATGATGCGTCCAGGGAATTCATAATTTTTTTCTGTGGGAGAGGCACACAGGGAAAAGGCCATATAAGGACACGGTGAGAATGTGGCCATCTTTGAGTCAAGGAGAGAGGCCTTCAGAGATACCAAACCTGCTGACACCTTGATCTTGGACTTCCAGCCTCTAGAACTATGAGAAAGCGAATTTCTGTTGTTTAAGTCACTCAGTGTGTGTTACTTTTGTTATGGAAGTCCAAGCAAATGAATGCAGTAGACCCTTGAACAAAGTGGGGGTGGGACACAGATATCCCTGTGCAGTAGCAAATCTGTGCATAACTTTTGACTCACCAAAAACTTAACTAATAGCCCACTGCTGACCAGAAGCTTTATTGATAACATGGTTAATTACCACATATTTTGTATATGTATTATATACTGCATTCTTACAATGAAGGAAGCTAGAGAAAAGAAAATGTTATTAAGAAAATCATAAGGTTTGTGAGTTTTTTTCAAATTGTTGCAAATCTCCAAAAAATTTCCCAATATATTGGAAAAAAATCCATGCGTAAGTGGACCATGCAGTTCAAACCTGTGTTGTTCAAGGGTCAACTGTAGTTAGCAAATTAAGGGTACATCCAGGAGAGAGAAGGAGGGAGGGAGAAGACGAGGGAGGTTGTCCCATCTGTGGTATGGCATGAGGTGGCCTTCATCAGAGAGAGAGAAGGAGTATAGATGATGTGGGGTGTTTGGAGATGGGTTTGCCAGCCGCGGCTTGAGGGGAGCAGAGTGGGTTTAGAAGAGCAGCTGAGGAGGAGCCTGAGGTAGTGGGTGATGCCCAGACATGGGAAGTGCAAGTGCCCCAGCAGCACTCCTGAGGCTGGATGGGATCTTCAGGATAGATGAGCTTAGGGTTTCCTGCCAAAGGAGGTTTCTGAAATAAGGACCTGTGGAATCTAACCTGGAGAGCAAGGGACATGGAGACGAACACATGGATAGACACATACTCATTCATTCCGTGGCTCCTTTGCACCCAAATCTTCTAAAGCTGCAGGAGGACTACCCTCTGGGAGTACAGCCCTGTAGCCCAGGGACGGACCTGAGTGACCATCACAAAGACAACCAGGCTGTCTGAGCAGGAAGGGACTTCCAGTTGCCCTGGCCAGAGCCTCCCTGCACAGAAAGCCCAGGGTGGGTGAGGGATGGGAACAGGGTGGCTTCCTGGGGCAGGGCCTGACCTTTAGAGTTGATTCTGGTGGGTGGGGCAGGGACCTTTGGGTGGTGTTAGGGGAGGCTTCTCCAGGCCTAAGGACACCTCCCCTAGCATGAGGGTGCTGTGAGCTGCCAGTTCACACCAATCTGGGTGAGCACAGCATGCAGAGCCTCTGGCTCTCACTCAGGCTAAGACAGAATAACCATGCTAGCCCCAGATCCAAGGCCAAGGACTCAACACAGAGATGCAGTGATGGCCCTGATCCACGGCCACACAGACTCTGCCCAGGAAACAAGCCCATCCATGGTGAGGAACATGGTGGTCCGCTGGCTGGAGCCACTGACATTCCCCACCCCAAGCACATGGTGCCCAAAGATGCCCAGACCTCTTGGCATCATCTGCCTCTGTCCCAGCCAGCCTGGGGGACAGGATGTGATGCCCTGTGAACCCAGGGCCCTTCCTTACCTGCAGCGACCATTACCTAAGCAAACACCCTCATTTAGGACCTGGTGCCCAGGCCTTGTGGCTATTGGGACAGGTGCTGAGCTAAGCCCCTGGGCATATACCTGTGATGCCAAGAAGGGGCCTGCATGAACATTATCTTACCCATTTTATGAAGAAAGTGAGGCCCAGAAAAGGACTTTACAGTGAATAAGGGGCAAGGCCTCAGCCCTGCCCCCTTCCCTCATCCCACCTGCAACCTGGGGAGGTGGCTGTTAGTGGCAGACCCCTAAGCCCCAGGACCAGGGTCTCCTTACCTGGGTCCCGTGGACTGCTCCCTGCCCGCATGCCGCCTAATGGGGGTCCTGTGGCTGGCCCCAGAAGCATGGCTGGCCCAGCAGAACAGCTCTGTTGCGAGGAAGGGAGGCCCAGCCCATCCCGCCAACCGCCTGGGGCTCCATGCATATTTAATGATGTCTATTATTCCTGTTTTGTCTCTGGAAAGGAGCCTGAGCAGCTGACAGAGGAGCAAAGAACAGCCTGGAGAGGTGGGCAGTGGGCTTGCTCCACACTTCCCGAGGGGAACTCTCTACCCCTCCTGCTCGCCCAGTGCTTGCCAGCCTCACATCTGTTACCATTCACCCCCAAAAGGCACACCTCCTCCAGGAAGCCTTCACTATGGCTCAGACATCTCAGGTTGGGGTTCAAATACAGGCTCTGCACTTACAAGCTGTGTAGCCCACGAGTCGCTGCCCCTGGAGACCAGGCTGCTGTGGAGGTGCCTCTCAGCCCTGGCATGCAGTCGGGGCTCAGTGAACGCTGGTTGCCACTCCTTGGCACCATGCTGAGGCTCCTCCACCATGTCCTTCTGAGGCAACAGGGGATATACTGGTTCCCCTGCTCTCACAGGGGTGCCTCCCTGCCACTCACAAGTTACAGGGGCCCCACTGTGGCAGGCAGACCTGGTCTCAGGATGTGTCATGTCTGGCTGGGATCTACAGCCCTTGGCCAATCCTCCAGGGCAGAGCCCATCCTGAAAGTCCCCACATTCTCTGTTGCACCCCAGGCTTGGGCCTGGTCCCCTACAGCCCAGGCTCCACCCACTATCTGATCACCAGGCTCGTTGCTGCCTCCTGACCAAACCTGGCAACCGAGTTCAGCAAATTTACAAAATTGACCTCAGTTTGAACCGAATTGTTTTCATTCTTTATTTCAGAGAGAGGTGAGAAGAGGGGGCTTAGAGAGAAAATAGAAAACCCAAACTCCAAAGCCCCCACCCCAGGTGTCTGCACAGGGCCTGGGAGCAGAGGCTTTAAGCTGGGGAGGAGCTGCCCTGGGAGGGGGTGGCACTTCAGGACCCGTCAGGTTGTGGAGGGCATGAGCTCGGCCTTTAAAGCTGTTGACCTCTAGTTTCCATCACAGGCAGCCCAGGGCAGGGAGGGGGTTAGGGGTTTTTGCCCTGGGAGGCCCCTGAGTACCTTGAAGCAGCAGAAACTGAGGCCAACATGCCCAACAGTAACAACCACCTCTAGGGACGCAGGCAGGCTCAGCTCCCCACCCCAGCACCAAGCAAGCCAGCTGCATCCGGGCCTGGCTGGGGAGTAAGGGGGCAGTTTGCTCCCTCAATGTCCGAAGAGGGTTGGAGGTAGGGTACAGGCCCTGGGTTCTAAATTCAGAACCCCTACCTGAGGGGCCAGTCTCAAGGAAAATGCCCCAAGCCCAGCCTAAGTCCCCCAACCTTGTCCCTCTGTCCCACATATGCTTCATCATTTGCCTACTGGAAAAACTTCAGGAAAAAGCAGACTTGAGAGACCCCCTTCCTGGAGTATGTGTATTTGTATTTTTCCTGTTGGGGCTTTGGTGTATCCCACTGGCTTCAACTCCCCATGAAGACAGCGTGGCTGGGCAGGTGGCCCGAGCCCAGGTCACTACTTCTTAACGATCTGGATGACATCCTCATGCTCCATGGTGTGGGTCAGGCCCACCCGCTGCGGGCTGTACTTGGTGCTAGTGCCCTGGGAAAAGAACAGGGTAGAGGGGCCGCATCAGTCTCAGCACTGAGCAAGGCCAAGGCTGATGGAGCTATCACTGGAGGGAGGTGGGGGGTGGGAATGCCAGAGTCTAAAGAGGGGGTCCCAGCACCAGCAAATGCCACAGGCGTCAGACGGTAGGACTGCCCAGTGGTCTGACCATGCCTGGACCCCACAGATGGAGATGTGTTCAGTTTGGGACGGTATGCTCACCTTGTGGAGTGGGACACACACTCTAGGGAAACCACACAGAACAGTGTAGATGCCTTGTTCCTACCTAGCCCAGGAGTGGTGTTGGGTATGACCCCGGCCGGCCTCCCACTCAAGACTCACCCACACCAGCGCGTACTTGAACTGGCTGGCGAGCGACCGGTGGATGCGGTGGCACTAAAGGGAGACAGAGTGAGACAGTGAGATGAGGTTCCACCCACCTACACCACCAAGCCTTGGGCACATGCCAAGTAGTAACTCCCAAGGTGGGTGCTCAAACAGCATGGTTTTCTGGCAAGGAATGCCACCTACTCAATCCACACACGGCCTCACATTCATGGCTGCACGCTGTTCTCAGGCTCCCACTTCCAGGTCTGCCCAAGGGCTGTGGTGCCATGAGGAATGTTCTCACAGCCACTGGAGGGAGGTCTGGACCTGGCTGTCAGTAGCCCTCTGCCCACTTTGCCTGAATAACAGGCCTGACAGATGCTCCTTCAGACGGGCGACGGTGGTTTCAGGACACCACCTCCGCTGGAGTCACCATGCTTGGTCACTGACTCCCACACACCTGCTGTTCACAGCTGTGACCTGGAGCCTCCCACACATCACATTATCCACCCCCTACCCGCAGGACAGCCTACATCCTTTAGCACTCCTGGGGACGAAGGTCGTGGGAATCCCATACTGTCAGGAGCCAGAGGAGGCAGTCCTGGTGGGACAGCCAGCTCTCCCCCTGGGAGTGTTGGAGCCCTGGGTGCGTGGCGCCCGATGGGCACAGTGGAGGTGGGGTAGGGGGAAGACGGTGCCCACAGCCTTACAGGCCCAGGTCAGAGACCAAATGCCTCAGCCCAGCTTCTGTGGGGACAGGGGCACATGTCAGGCCTGCAGGAACATTTCCCAAGGAACCACCCTGATCTGGGCCTCCTCTGGGCAACCAAGGATGCCACCGCCATGGCAGAGAGGATGCTGCTGCCAATGACAAGCACAGAGACCCACACCATCAGTTCCAACACTCGCTGTTTTCTAGACCAGAGAATGCAATCTGATGGCCCAGAGGTCTGCTCTGGCCTGCAAATGGGTTTGAAGTTTTATTCAGCGTGCCCAACAAAAAAATTAAACCCACTGGCAGTTTGCAAAGCAGGGTCACACAGTCACTGGGATTCTCTGGGGACCGAGAGCTTTGGGAGCACTGGGCTGGCGCTTACGCTCTAAGGAAGATTGGGAAGGTGTTTTCCAGTCTGTCACAGCCCCCCCCCCCCCGCCACCATGTCCTAGTGTATCTGACATGAAGTGTTATCAGTAGAGCCATTTACCATGGAGCGTGCTCTATGGTTCTCACGGAGGAGGAGTTCTCTATGCTTGTGTCTCCAGCAATGGGGGAGAATGGAAGGTCGTTGAAGGCCATGTTTTCTATATGGGAGAGCACACTGTTTGGGGATGGGAGACAACTGCTTCCCAGAGTACACTGTGCCTCTCACTCCTGAGAGCCCTGCACGGTCCTCTCTGCCTCTGGGGCTCATGGCCCCTGACCCTTTTGCAGGCAAGACCTTATAAGCTCTCACTGAAGACATACCAGGGCCTGGGATGGGTGTATTACAACAGCCTTGGGGCGGGGGGCTTAGTTACCCCCAGATAAGAACACTGAGGCATGAGGAGGCTGACAGTATAGGGAGCTAGGGTATTACCCCAGGTCTGCCTGGCTCCAACACCTATCTGGGTCCTCAACTTTGGGTCTCTGTTGTCAGCATCCTGGCAGGCCTTTACATATATTCCATGGCACCTGGGACAGGTGGGCGTCCCAGGAGGGGGGTTAGTGGGGAGGCGGTGGCCACTGAAGAGGATGCCTTCCTAGGACAGAGTCCAGGCTCTGGAGCAAGGCCCACAAGGCCCCTCTCCACCCTGCCAGCCTCGCCTCACCTGCTGCTTGTGACCCTCCATGCCAGCTGGTAGCAAACAGCCAGCAGTCCCCACATTTGCTCCTGCCTCTGGGCCTGTGCATGTTATTCCCAGTGCCTAGAATGCCCTCCTGCCCCTGGTATCTCCTGCTTTTCTCCCCCAGTGTGGCTGAAGCCCCACAACCTCTTGCATAAGCAGCAGAGGGCCTGAGGTGCAGGGTAACCCCAGGGTAACCACATGTGGGTACCTGTTATGGCCTGCTAGACCCCAGCAGGAGACACTGCGGTCCCAGGGGACAGGGACTCCCACACAAAGCTCTTTGGAGTGATCTAAGGGATCTGGTAGAGTAATCTCCAGTTTCCTTGGCTTCCACCTGGAGAGTAGGCCAAGCCCTGTTTGTATCGGCATTTCCAGGTTGGCAGAGGCCTCAGGCTGGGCTTACCAAATGAACGAAAGAATGCATGAGACCCACCCACTGTCAACAGTACAGATCCTGAGAAGTGAGCTAGAGGAAAACAAAAGCCCAAGAAGATGGCAGTGGGAGCTGGAGCATCATCCCGGGCTCTTGGGCCATCACCTGCTCCTGCAGGGCCCACGGTGCCTTCTGAAAAAGATGGCACAGGGACACATTCACAGGGCACAGGGGGACCCGTGCCTCTGACAGAGCTCCAGACACAGAAACGTATGCCTCCTCTCCCAGACTCAGGCTCTGCCCAGGGCCCCCAGCTTCAGGGCCTTTGCTCACCTGGTCCCCCTGCCTGGAGGGCTTCCCCTACTGCTGCTCTCAGTCAGGTCTTGCATGGTCTACAGGCCCACTCAGGCCACTTCCTCCGAGACCTCCTAGCCTCTCTGTGTAGACGCGGTGCCATTCCTCCCCATTCAATGTCCTCTTCCTTCCCTGCATTCACTTTGATGTGTGACTGCTTAGCTCTAGGATTGGGTGGTCTGGCATCTGTTGACCCCAAAGGACCCCAGTTCTGGTGGGAACTGGGGCTACTTTGTTGATGGTCAGTGAAGGGTGTTGAGTGCGGGAAGCATTGGAAGCCACCCCCAGGCTGGGGGTGGGATGTGGGGGCAGGAAGGGGCAGGCCACACTGGGGGCTGAATGGGGCCTGGGGCATGGGAGGTGGCATCTCTGAACCCCAGGCCAGCAAGGGGGAGACACGACTTGGAATGGACGCAGGGGTCCCCTGAGACACAGGAGTCTCCTTGAGAGAATGCCTCAATGGCCCTGAGGAGCCTGCAGCACTGGGATGTGACAGGACAGCGAGGATCACTACTCCTAGGCGTCTACCACGCACCAGGCAGCATGCTGGGTGCTTTACATGCCCGACCTCATTCATTGCCACCCCCTATCTACAGTAGGTGGGCAGCACCATTCCTGTCTTACAGAAGAATGAAGGCTCAACGTGCAGCTAGGAAGGGTGGTCAGGACACATCCCAGGTCTAACACCAACTCTGCCACTGCAGCCTGTATCATCCAAGTCAAAGGAGGGCCAGGAGAACTTCAGGCAGGACTCCCGCACCCCACACCGTACCCTCAAAGGAGACAGCGAGTTCCCTGAGCCCCTCGTCTAGGCAGGTCTCGTTAACTCACCACATGCTCCACGGAGGCGCCTTTCCGGAGGATTATGGCATCTGTGAAGTCTGGCCTCTCTGCACAGGTAAAGATGGGGGGCGGGGGTCAACCACAGTCACAGCACCATACTGCCATGGGGTTCCTTTCTACAGGAAACAGAGGTCCTTCCAGTCTCCAGCCTTTGGCTAACCTTTCCCCCCTTATTTGGCACACCCTTACTATAGAGCCCCATAAAGTCTTCTACAACCTTGACTTTAACACAGAAAATCAAAATAAATCCAAGTCGAGGATTCAAACTGCCCACAATCCAGTCAGCCATGAGAGTCCTGAGACGAGCCACGGGAGCATCTGGGTTGAACTGGCAAGATGTGATAGCTACAGGCATCCAGTCAGAGGCAGCCACATCTCTCCCCTTGCTTACAAGGTCAAGGTCAATGAAAATTGCCAGAACTCAGCAGCTAGGTCCCTGAGTATGTAAGGCTCTTGTGCATTCAGTTGCCTAAAGTGCTGATGTGAGGCCTGTCACTGCTAGGGGAGATCAAGACGGGGCTACTGCTGTAGCCGGTAGGGAACTCCAGAGCAGCCTTCAATCCACTACCTCCCACCCCGCCAGGGCACCCTGAAGACCTTGGCAATCTTTGCCATGAGGGCTCAGGCTGTGGTCTCTACCAGCCTGGGGTAGGGGGCAGCGCCGGTTCTGAGATGGGAGAAAAGCTGACACGTCTAAGCTGGGCCATGGGCACAGTGTGGCAGCCCTCGAGGGAGGGTGGAGCTCAGCTGTTGCTTGGGCTGCATGCTGCCCGACTCACGTCCTCTCTTCTTGGTGTAGATGCAGGTCAGGGCCAAGTACTCCCAAAGCATTTCAAGCAAGTAGTCCAGGTTTAGCTTCATGCCGCAGCTGCCGGGAAGGAAGGCGGCCAGTCAGAGGAGCCCCATGGGCCAGAGGACAGGAGTCCCCGCTTCCTCACTGTTGCAGAGACAACTTCCATCCGGCTGGGCACAGGCACCAAGGCCAGTGTGGCCCAGCTGGCACCTGTGGGGAACCCAGCCTGTAGTTCTGATGGTGGTCTGACAATTCAGCTGCCAACGCCTGTAGTCAGCAATCATGATCACACCCAGTAGAGCATAGTGGTCTCTCCTGGGGATCACAGGTGCTCTCTGTGGAGGGCACATGGCATCTATAATTGACATGAATGCCTGCAAGTTTGGCTTCCCTCCTGGTACCTGCTGTGTGGAGACTGGTGAGGGACTTTGATGGGATTGTGGTCAGAGGACGACAATCTAGAGTTCACCCCTCCTGAGAGGTGGGAGCGGGTGCCAAATGGCCCAAGGCTGCCCAGCAGGGATTTCATTGATGGGGGAGCCCGAGCGGGTGTCCTGCCCTCCACAGAGCTGTTGTAAGCATGAGCAGGTAAAGGTGCTCTCATGCCCTTAAGACAGGCATGTCCTCAGGCCGCCCCTGAAGGGAGCCTGGGATGCAGCAGGAGGTGAGGAGCTGGCTCTCTGCTGCCCTTTGCGGCAGCTGGAAATGCCTAGGAAACGGTCCTTGTGCTTGGGTCCAGGACCCTCACCCATCATTTGTACCAGTCACCCCTTCTTGGTCCCTGAGCATCTCCCTCCCTACAAGCCAAGCCTCAGAAGCTCCAGAGCACCTTGTTTGAACTGGGAAACCAGCAAAATGGAGCACACAAGCAGTCTGCCTCAAAAAAGGAACCCCGCAGCGATGACGGGAAGTGAACAAACAGCTATCAGTCAGAGTACAGGCAGCACCCCCAAAACCTCCCCCTGAAGGGCAGAGAGCAGGCGGCCAAGGATGGCTCTGCCAGCTTAAGGACTCCAGTTCCCTTTTCCCCCTGCTCTGTGGTGACACAGCCACATCTTACAGAGCATCAAGAACACTGGCTTACACCCTGTGGCTTTCTGGGGGACCGAGGTTAACTTCTAATTTATAAAGCCTCTTAACTATTCCTAACCATTTACCTTGATGGACAAAATCCTTCTGTTTTCTTAACCAGGACCCACCTCACATCACCCACTGTCCGTGTCAATTTAGAATGGGACTGAGCCAAGATCACCAGCAGTTGGGAGGGTCTCCTCTGCCCTGAGCTGTTCTGTGGAGGCTTTGCCTGGCCAAGGTGGCTGGGGGGGCTTCATTGCTGGGCTCACACACAGAAATGATGGCAGAGCCTCACCTGATGACCACACTATTGGGTTTCCGGGCCAGGCGGTCTACTTCTTCCATTGAGATCTGGTCAATTTTGTTATAAACCTGGGATTGAAAGGTGGAGGTGGGTGTTGGGGAAGGAAAGGAACAAAGGAGTACAGGACAAGGGCCCTCAGCAGCCACAGCCCTGCCCGTGGTTCCTTCTGCATGCGGTAGCACAGGGTGCGGACGCTAAGTGTCCTTCCTCCCCTGTTGTCTCAACAACGAGGAAAGGCTGAAGGGGCCTAGGCCGCTAGCCTCCCCAGAGGACAGGCTGGGCTGGAACCCGTGTTAAGCGAGACATGCACACGTATGCAAGACTCAAGGAACAACTGGGGTAGAGAGGAGGGTGGAGACAGTTCCGGGCTCTTTCTGCTCCTTGCAGAAGCCTATCTCCCATCAGGGTCCAGGCAGCTCAGGAAATGGGGCCGGGGACAAGGGCTCCCCTCCCTCAGGATGCCCGAGGGGCAGGGGTCTGGTGCCACTTACATACAAGCAGGGCATGTATACCCGGTTGCCCACGATCACGTCGATGAACTCGTCTGGTGAACAGTCCTCTCGGAAGAGCACTTCTGCATTGAAGATCTCTGAGGGGCTCAGATTAAGGGCAAACTGTGTGCCAGCAGCTTCTTGTGCCCAATCAGATGAGGGCCTGAAGCAGCCGATCAGGAAATATGCTGCTGAAAGGGACCTTCGAGGTCATCTGCTTGTGAGGTTTTACAAGATTTTAAAGTTTTGGGAGCCCCCTTATTTTTCTTTTCAAAACGAACCACAATATGTAAAAGTTTCAACCATAATTTAAATCTTTGCTGTTAGGCAAGAAAACCTACTTGCCAGAATCCCCACAGCACCTCAGTGGAACCCCAGATCTCAGTGCTTGGAGCACTCTCTGAAAGCTTTGGGCTAAATCAGCTTCCCCCCACGCAGAACGTTCCTCTGCTTATATACCTCCAGTGATGAGAGAGAGCCTCACCACCTTGCTAGGCGGCCGGTCCCACCGTGAGTTCTCCCTATGCTGAGCTCCACTCTGCCGCTGGGACCCTGTCCTGTTCCCCTCCCCCGCAACCCTAACAATACTTTAGCAATGTGGGCACAGGCCCCTGGTTCTCCCTGAGGCTTCTCCAGGCCAGGAGGCCCTGGTCCCTGGGGACTGCTTCCCTTAACATCTCGTCTTTCCTCCAGATGTGACTGGCTGCCATAGCACCTAGTAGTCAGCAAGGAGCAAGGAAGCCACTGTTGACTGCATGGCTGTGGGCCAGCCGGCTGAAGCTTAGTGAGCAGGGACAAAGGAGACACGAATGCCTCATGTCAATGGCTGCGGCTTTCCTGGAGCCTGCTTGGGTTGATCCAGGGAGGCTTGGGGTGGTCTGCTGTCACCCTGGGCCACAGGGCCTCCCGGCCCGGGTTGTCCCTCCCCTGCCCTGGAGGCTGTGGGCCCTCCCTCACCACTCTTTCAGCAAGGATACTGTACTCATGTAGGATCAGCTGCACCAGCTTTTCTGAGCACTGGGTCAGCGTGACTGTCGAGTTAAAAGAAATGCCACCACCTTTCTTGGGCTGGAGGAAGGGGAAGGGAGAGATGCCGATGAAGGGGCAGCTGCAATCGCCTGGGTGCCTCAGCCACTGGCTGACAAAGTCCCAAACCTGCCCACACCACAGCCCAAAGATGACGGGGCCTCACCTTGAAGTAGATGTTGGGTTTGTGCTTGTTGAGGCGGATGCCCACCGACTCCAACTCCTTCTCCAGCAGAGACCTGGGCAGAGCCCCCACAAGCCTTCACAGGTGCACAGAGGCACGCTGCACAGCTTCCATGGTAAACAGGAAGCCTCTGCTCACCCAGACCAACGCCCTCCTCTACTCGCCCCTGGCAACTGGGAACGTTCCTTCCCAATAACCCAGAGCTGCAGAGGAGCAGCTGGACCCTCTCCCTAGTCCAGGGCAGACCAGTCAGGTCTGTGGTCAGTGGGCAGGGGCAGGCCTGGTGTGCCCCTCAGCTGTCAGATCAGCAGGTCTGTGGGCAGTGGGCAGGGGCAGGCCTAGTGTGCCCCTCAGCTGGCAGACTGGGCCATGAACAGGCTGCTGTTGCTTGGGACTGGGCTCCTGGCAGGTTCTGGGCGGCGACTGGAGCAATAGGACTCCGCAGGTAGGGGCCAGAGCCAAAGCCAGGCCGTGCTCCTCGGGCCCTGGACAGCCTGTGCTGCCTGGGAGCTACTGCTACAAGCTTCGGCTTCATGCAAGCTGCTTGGAAAGGACGCGCGAGGCTGAGTGCACTGGGTTTGGCCTGTGGATGGTCCTGCCACTAATTCCATGTGACAGGGCCAAGTACCCCTCAGACCACCCACCGTGAGCTCCAGGACACATCTGCTGGAGCCAAGGTGTCCCAGTGCCATGCCCGGGGGCCTCCCCAGACCTGTCAGCCTGCCCCCACCCCACCCTGCAGACCTCTGCACCTCTCCCTTGGTGGCATCCAGCATCATGATGACGACATCAGCAGTGCGTGCCACAGCAATCACCTGCCGGCCACGTCCTTTCCCTGTACAGGTAGAAGGAATGTTATACAGTGACACAGGTAAGACACGTGTGACCCCCACCCAGCCCACAGTGCCCCAGACGCTAGTCCTTTACAGGCCCGCCATGGTGTGCCATGTGACACCTCTGGGATTTTTTGGGCATTTTTCTTTCTTTTCTTTTCTTTTTTTTTTTTTTTTTAATAAATATTCTCCTTTTAATGGCTTTTTTTTTTTTAATTGGGTAACTGTTTTTTCCAGGATCCATCAGCTCTAAGTCAAGTCGTCCTTCAATCTAGTTGTGGAAGGCGCAGCTCAGCTCCAAATCCAGTCGTCATTTTCAATCTACTTGCAAGGGAGATGCAGCCCACCATCCCATGCGGGAATCGAACCGGCAACCTTGTTGTTAAGAGCACCCACTCTAACCAACTGAGCCATCCGGCCGCCACAGGCAGCTCAGCAGCAGTTCAGTTCAAGTTTTTGTCTCCCATCTAGCTGGGGAGGGCACAGCTCACTGGCCCCTGTGGGAATTGAACTGGAAACCCTGTTGCTCAGAGAACACACTCTAACCAACTGAGTCACCCGGCTGGCCCTGGCATTTTTCTTTAATCCAGATGCTGTCTTACTTGTGGATACTTGTCTTAGAAGGAAATCCGCCATTACCACATTAGGAGCAATGACGTTTCCTGCCCCCCCCG